CACACACACACACACACACACACACACACACACACACACACACACACACACACACACACACACACACATATGCATGTGGTACATAACTCGACCAGTATATACATATCAGCCACAAGACATGATCTAACGACGGACGGGTCAGGCGTCGCCAAAAGGCCATTAATGTCCATCATTCGAATTGTAGTCGTCATACATTCCGTGCTGCTTCTGGCGAAAAAGGCGAGATTTCCAAGAAGAATCGTTGGCGCACGCAACTCCCGCTTTTCTTGAAATAATACGCGGCAGACAAATTGCCGTGCGAAATTAAACCTACCATCAGCTGATCGTTGTTTCAACCGCCGAGCGAAGTTTTATTTACTGTACGATTGTCTGCTATTCGTATATCCATTCTCCGATAACAAGAAACGAGAATTCACGGAACGAACCCGTAGTCACCTATTGACATTTCTTTGTTGGGAGAGACCGGGAAGCAATTTAAAGCGCGCACAGACACACACACACACATACGTGGCGACCTATTCGCGATCCAAAGATTCATGGAAAACAAATAGAGGATTTCGCGCCGAGAGAATGTATCGTAGCATTCGATATTGAATGCGTGTTAATGTAAAATAATTGCACGAGAAAAGATTTCGCAAAGAATAGATAAGGGAGTTTCGATTTTCGGGTAACTTGATGAAGCGCATCGATAACGAGGCTTTCGTGCTATTAAGAAACGACTCTTTTTCTCAACTAAAGAGCCATGACGGAGACGACGATGGCGGCATGGCAGCGATACGAGAGAATATTTATAAGCTCCTCTTACAGTTAAGCGGCGTGGCGACGAGGCGACCCACGGCACCGAGGTATGCATTTTCCGCGCGAAGACAGCGAGATTATTACCGGCGATATTTCATCGGCCGCTAAAACCAGCCGGCCTTTCGGGACACAGCCCTTCTCTCTTCCTCTCCTCCTCTTCTCTCCTTCCGTCGCTTGCATTAAAGGTCCTCGCGCAATTGTAAAATGTAACTACGCTCCGTGTAAGCGGAGTGTACGGGATTTATGCTCCGCTCGAGCTCGAGATAGAGAGAGAGAGAGAAATAAAGAGAGACTGCTACTTTTTCTTCGAAATATATTCGCGCCGAATTTCTCGCGTTTTTCACGAGACAATATTTTTTTCAACGTGACGGAGAGAAAGAAGCCCTTCTCGCCTCGAGAGAACGTAATCCGAGATATGAGAATTTTTCTAGTGATTTTAATTATTCGACGATCGGAGAAGCGGTTTTAAATATTCTCGGGCGAAAAGCTCGGAATATCGAAGAGCCGGCAAATATCGTAACATAGCTTTATGCCTCGCGGTCACGAAATTTAGCACGTTACGCCCTTGCACTCTCTCGATCCCTCCACCAGTTACCCTAAAGCTGTTTTTTCGTTGCGATACGCGAGTGATGCGCTTCAGGATCGACTTTTCTCTCTCTCTCTCTCTCTCTCTCTCTCTCTCTCTCTCTCTCTTTCTCTCTCTCTCTCTCCCTCCCTCTCCTCCTCGTCACTTCACAGACAATAAAATCTAACGCGGTACTCCGTTTTTATTTTTGTTGCTCCTCCTCTTTTTCGACAAAATGCTTTTTACGCGAGAGCGTAAAGTATCGTAACGTAACGTAACATGACGATAAAACTGGTCGAATATCTTGTTCAACCGATATCGCGGGTGCCTTTATAAATTGCTACGCTATATAGCCATTAGTCAACGCGTAGCGTAAAAAAAAAAAACCCTCCAACGCTGCACAGAACGTTACAAATATTTTGCTCTCGTATTTGCCGCCGTCGAATTACACTGTCACCGTCATTAGAACGGCCATTATTCCGTGTAATGCAAAAAGCGTGCACGAGTTACAATATAGAATTCTCGCTTACTAATTAACGAACGGCCGCGAGAATTTTAACGATAAAAACATAAACAAGAGACAAACGGTAGGACGTAATTGGCATCTGTCGCGGCTCGTTTATTCAAAAGCCGAGCGCGCCCAAACATTAATTTCAAAATTCACTTTTCCTTATTAATGAATTGCCAAGATTGCGCGCGCCAAACTTGCTGCGATTCTTTCCAAAGTTTCTATTAACAGAACCAACAACGCGGACGTTCTCTCGTTACACCGCTATCGGGGGAAGGTAAACTCGATCTTTAGCGCGTGAAGATCTGCTTATAATCGAAACAAAAGTTTGAATCGCAGAGAGAAAGACGGAGGAAAGAGAGTGTGTCATTCTTCAATCCGACGCGCTCCTTTGATGGACAGACAGACGGTTGCTCCGAAAAAAGTGTTTTGTTTTCGAATTGTAAGCAGGTATGCATGCTCTTTTAAGTCGGTGAAAGTGGAGACGATTTTGTTTAATCATTTGAATTTAAAAAAGATTCTATTTCTCTGAAAATAGAAAATAGAAAATAACAAACGAGAAAGAGAGACTGCGAAGTGAATAGTAAAACGAAAGCGACGCACTTCAGGGGGGGCCTCGATTTGAACACCACTGACTCGACGAGACGCCAAGAATGCGAGAGTGCCTCAATAGCGGTGTAACACTTAACGCTACGGAGGGAAAGGCAAGCGTATGCTTTTACCTTTAGTCGTAGGTACGTGTATACGAGCATGTCTTCGTGACGTTATATGCATGAAAGGAAAGGAGAAGAAAGGAAAGGAAAGGAAAGGAAAGGAAAGGAAAGGAAAGGAAAGGAAAGGAAAGGAAAGGAAAGACGAGAAAACGAAGAGCGCGCGTCCTTCTCGTCTCGCGAAACGCGAGGAGAGACAGCCAGCCGCCTCTTCCTCTTCCTCTTTCACCCTCTTTCCGCCCATCGTGCCGCATCGCGGCCGCGTGTCACGACTCGGAACAGTCGAGACTCTCTCTTTCTCTCTCTCTCTCGATTGATGTGAATGGAAACTTACCTCGGTAGCGGCGTCGCATCCCGCGAGAATCACCGCAGCCGTGCTAAGGAGAAGTATCCAGCGTATCCTTAGTCGCATCTTTCTATCCCGTGATCCCGATGGGCCCCGCTCGCCCGGCGCCCGTCCCGTATGCACGCGCACGAATTTGACGTGAAAGAGGAACGTGAAAGGCGCGAGACGGTGTTTCAACGTTTCGACGTTCCGCGTAAGATGACGGCGCGAGGGCAGTATACTCGTAATAAACGTCGGGGACGGACGAGAGAGAGAACCACTCGAGGGAGAGGGGAGAAAAAAAAGATCTCCCGGAACAACAACGCGCGACACACACCACACTGATCGATGAACCGCGAGACACTGGGCGGCGCGACGATCGCCCGTTACTGTCGACCAGACCGACCCGACTGGCCGCCATGCTGCCTCGCTGCGCCGCGCCCGCGTGCAGCGCCATCTGCCATCGACCGATCGCAATCACCGTCAAAGCGTGGCGCTACTCGTTCATTACAAACGCCGCCCGATATAAACGCTCATCCGACATGACATTCGGAATCGTGTTTACTCTTATTAAATCGCCCCTTATTAATTCAAGTGTGGAAAAAGTAATTACAATATACGTGAGTCATTATTTATTTGAGTTTTCTGAGTAAAAATAACACACTACACTCTATTCAAAAATTTACACATTTTACACATTTTAATGTATGATATTATAATGTTATTTTTACAGGGAAAGCCAATAATCTCACATATACGCATGTATATTGTGATTACTTTTTACATACACACCTGGGTTTGTAATGTATTTTAAAGTCGATTCCTCTAAATTTAAGACTATCTTAAGTTGTGAATCAAGAGAACTGTATCAACATTTAAGATGATTTTAAAATAAGGACTATGAATAACAGCTCTAAAGATCCTATTCTTATAAGATTTAGATGCTTAATAATATTTATATGCCAATTTTTGCAATTACATTTTTCAGTTTAGATTGGTTTCTCGGACTTGAAACATCATTTCAACTGAAAATCAATATCTCAAATTAGTTTCATGGTCAATTTAATATGCTCCTCTACAGTACAAAGTTGCACAAAAATTACAGCAATATTGCAGATATTTTGCAGTGGTGTTGCTGCAAATTCGGTGTTATATGTGTTATATGAGAGTTGCAATACTAATAATCTTAATCAAGAAACCTCATCGATTAATTAAAGATGCTATTATCGATCGATATAAAATTAACATTATATGTAATGAAATTATTTGAAAAATATTAACAAATTTGTTTTAAGAGATATTGAAAAGAAGAAAAAAAATATATATATATATATAAGATCATTAAAATTTCTATGCAATATGTAGTTAGTGTCCCATAGTAATTGTGTAAATTGAGAACATTTCACGAATTTAATAAGCGAAATTGTTAATTCATTAAAAAAAAAAGATTTAGAAACTAACTCATATTCAGTACAGCATATTTTCTCATGTACACATAAACACATTAAAAATATATATGTCAGAATAACATTAAGCAATTTACGAGTGAAATTTGTTACTGCTCTATATCACGGATATCGATAGATCTATTAATATATTTATTCTGTAATTTTTTTTAAATTTATATAGATTGTTTGCTTAGGTCTTCTTGCCACCAGCAAATAAATCTTTCTCTAGGCTCTTTAGAAATCTCATATTCTCGTTTATGCCGCGATTGTATTCATCAATCTTGTTCTTCATGATTTGCACTTCTCTCTGCATATGTTTCACCTCGTTCTGTGTCTTCTCCTTAACGACTTTCAGCAATTTCCTGTCCTGATTATCCGAAACATCTTACTACGTCGTGGTTACTGCTTGACTCTAAAATGACGTTTTACGAAAATATTTGCATCACCTGCTTATGATAATAATCCGTTTCGCACGCAATATCGCCGGGCGATGTCTGATCCATCTTCGAATCGTGCTTCTTTCTTTCATTAAGATGTCTAAAACTGGAAGGAATAATTCATTTTTCATATCAGAGCGTTAGGAAAATAACCTAAAGCATGGAAAACACAGTGGAATATATTATCAGCGAATTAAATACCTATATCTGCAAGTTTTTCTAAAAACAAGTCGGAGCATTGTGGTATTGATAAAAAAAATTTTATGTAGAATGTATATAAACGCGAATTTGACTATTTATTAAACGGAAAAATATTTAACGAAGTTGTATGAAACGGACAAAACAAACTAGCATCAGAATTGGCGCACCTCTCGAAAATGACTCAATGTCCAAGAAGAGGTTAAGCAACAATGAAAAATACGTTTTATTTTCAAGTATAATTGTCTTGCAGATATTTCAAAGTACAAAGTCGATAATCTCGTTAAAAGCGATACATACAATATATATATAAAGAAACACCATTCAATATTTAAGTAACATATATATTAAGAGCATTACATTTAATATCGATGTAATGTAACAGTTTATACAGAAGACTGTGTGATACTCTATTAGTTTTACTATTTTCGAACTATTTTCTTACATTAAAACCAATAATAAAGCCGCCGATCAGTCGGAGTATCACGCTAATATAACTTTGTTCACTCTTTCTGATCCATGTCTGTAATCCGCTTTTTGTGACGGTTAATAGCCTCCTGATGACGCTTGATCTGTTCCTCATGGAATGAGATCTCATCGTGCAAGCTCTCTCGCATCTTTTGTAACTGTTCCTTTTGCTAAAATAACATTTCAGACTTGTGTAAACAAATGAGATCGTTGATATGATAAATTAATAAGAAATATATACTGACCAGATTATAGAAGTATTGATCCTCATGAGCAGCTTCCATCTTTCCGAAAGAACCGCCAGCATCACGAACAGCACCACCACCACCTCCTCCCTTGCCAGCACCTGAACCACGTTCTCCAACCATTCTCACTTGACTGTAACAAAATACGTTTTAAATGTAACAATGGCTATGTTCAATAGAAAAAGCAGTGTTGCAACTGTTGTAAAATTCTTTATTGCCTCATTAGATCTAAATGTATAAATCATATTCAAGAATTTTACAACAGTTGCAAAACTGTTTTTTCTGCTAATGGCTGCATTCAGCAGAAAGAGCAATTATTGTAAGATTCTTTAATATGATTGATTTTTGTTTTTCCTTAGTTTCTTGCTGGATCTAAAGGTATAACAATCATATGAATGAAATAACAGCTTTTGCAATTGCATTGCATTTGGCAAAACTCTGCTTAGAAATGAAATATTATTCAGGGGTTATGTCAGCTACACTTTCCGCCTAATTATTACATAATTTTGATATGGCATCTACTCAAGTCATATCACAGATCTGTGCCATGCTGAAAAAATACATGACTATTTATGTGTGAGAAGATATTCCTAAATTCGAAAAGAAGAATATGTCAGTATTGCGAATAAAAACGATGATATCTGGATTTATGTTTGCGGGAAAACGCCGGGTATGAAGTATGAATTAAAAATGATCGACTAATTGTTCGACTTTGAAACTGAGGAATTCTTCCGATACCTTAACGCAGAGATGCTTCGCGAAAACGTCGTAATCGATCGTTGCATTTTTCCAATCACGAAATACTCTGGGTCTGAAAGCTATCGAAAACTTGGCAAATCGACAGGACAAGCTGATGAATGAGTCATGAACGAAACACTATTCTTAGAACGCGAAACTCAGCTACGACCAGTTAGTATTGTGGCGCTTGTGTCGGGAATATTGTGAATTCCATAGATTTAAACGCAATTACTTTCTCGGAATGAGTTCAATCAAATTCCAATTAACCTGATTATGTAATATTTGTATTTTATTAATTTTTTGAAGATTAACTTCTGTCCAAGAAATGAAAAGAAAAATCAAATTATAAAAATAATGATTTATATGTATAATTAGAAACTTTACTGTAAGAAATTCTGTCAACTTAATTAAATTTAATCCGAGGATTTAATTAATTTGATTGATTATTACCTGTTTCTATCAATGTAGATTAACTTTAATTTCAATTCGATTCTCTCTTCATTTTTTTTCTAATTTTAGAATTAGAAAAAGATGAAGAGTTAATTGAACCAAAATAAATTAAACATACATTAATAAAAACGAGCATAATTAAAGCTATCCGGATTCGACCTGTAGTATTCATTGACTTGATCCAGCATCAATTGTTTCTTGAGCTCGGACGTTTTCAGCTCATTAACGGCAGCCTGTTTTTGCAGCTCCGCGCGCTCCAATTCGATATGCAGCATCCGCAGCTTGATCTCGTGCTCGCGTTGGGTAGACTTGAAGATCCATGTAGCTCTTTGTACTGATTTATCTTTGTCGCAGGTTGCTGGTCCATTGTTCCACTCGAGCTCATTCATCGTGTCATTGTGTTCCACCGCTCGAAAATAAAACATTTCGATAAGATCTCGTCATTGGAATAAGATTTGGAGTGAACACGATGACTGCGTTCAGCGGACTCAACAATTGAATGAGCGCTCACTGCTATTAATGTATTCTTCCAGATCTAAAATGCTGATTGGATGATCTAAAAGAATACGTCAATAACACCGAGCGCTCATTCAATTGTTGAGTCCGCTGAATGCAACTAATGGTTCTATAAGTTCACTTTCAGCGAACTTATAGAACGAATGCTCACTGCTATTGGTGTATTCTTTTAAATCTAAACGTCTGATTGGATTTCACTGGCGGATGGTCATGAAATCATGGCCCT